ACTATGCTCTGCTTGAACCTATAGCTAAAACTTAACAGAAATTATTCGCAGCTATTAACTAAAATAACAAAACCCCGTTGACTTAGAGAAATTCCATCATTTTCACCAAACTTATATGCTTAACCTATTCATAGATTTCTTGCTAATTTCTATAGTCCTACATTAGCTAGATTAATTTCCTGCTTCAGGTGCCAAACCATAGCCCAAAAAATTAATCTACATTTCCTTTTTCTTACTTTTTCTCTCTATTTTCTGTTGATCTTATGGCCAAAAATTCTATACAAAAAGACGTATATAAGCAGAAAATACAAACATATTAATATGCATAAAGTGTGAATAAACCCATATCAAGAGTCCCAACCAAAAAAAGTTGAAAATAAATAAAAAGGCAGATTTTTTTCCCAACTTGACTCCTAAAAATATTAAAATTCAAGAGTTTTTTTCTGGAGCACAAATCAAAAGTATCTTCAGAACATCATCAGAACAATCATCGGCAATCAAAACCCATAAACCCAAAATTAATGAAATGAAGAAAACTCGGACACCTAACACATAAATATAAGGATCAAGATAAGACAAGCTCGTACCTTCGAAAATTATTCGGTGTTAAAACACAAAAGGAGATTCGATCCAAACCTTGAGCAATTTGAGATCTTCTTAAATAGAGGGAGAGAGAAGAAAGGAATGAAATGAAAAAATGGAGTGGGTGAGCCAATAGGACACTAATTGGGAAGGACAGAAATAAGAGAAGGTATTTCTCTAAAGAGACAAAGGGAAAGTAGACAAAATTGGCGTGCTGACCACAAGCCAGGAACAAGACAAGTCACCCACGATCCACACGCCAGTTTTGATTTCGGGCATGGTTTGATTCATTCTTCGTAAGTATCTCCAAGCCATTCGGGTCAACGTTTGGTAGCCGCTTATGCTTTTGATTGGCTCAATCTCATATGTGCTCCAATCAAGAATTTGTCAAATTTAAAAAGGAAATAGGAAGGACGGCGTGTTGGTGCAAAGATCTACGGGTCAAAGGAAAGATAACATCTTGTGTTCGAGATAAATTTATGTTGCAAGTCTCTATTCAAAAAGAAAAAAATGTTTTGCAAAGAGGAAAAAGGGTGAACATGTTAACTTGATGAAAAGACTACGTTCCATTTTGATGATGTATGAATGTCGATAGGAGGAAGTTTATGATGATGGGAAAATGCACTTGCAGAGTCATTAAGGGCTGTAAATTTTACAGCTCTTTCACATGAATGTAGCAGTTCTCTTATGATGATATTATTTGAACATATCGAAGTAAAGAGTATTAGTATGAAATCACGAAATCCTATAAAATCAATAATTATATTTTCGACTGTGTACTTATGATTCTTACGATTTGATATGGCAAAAGCCGAAAATTTATGATTCTTACGATTTGATATGGCAAAAGCCGAAAATATTGAGGGGAAGTAAATAATGGAAAAACGGAAAGGAGAATGCGCTAGTTTGAGATTTGTTGGTTAAAGAAAATATATAATGTCTAGATTTGTGGACAAATTCGTACAATGCGAGAGTGTCAATCCATATATATTAAAACAAGCTTACCAAAAAAATAGAAAGGGATGTCATGTTAGTTTTGAAAATCAAAAGGATAAAGGAAAAGCGACAACTTGATTTAATGATGCAAGTGGCAGTTCAAGAACATTTCTGGTGATGTCAAGGGAGAGTGTTGATACGACATAAGAAAAATATGTAAAAAAAGGATGAAAAATTACATATGGATTTTTATTTATTTATTTATTTTTGCGCATGTTATGACATGTCTTTTGCTACTGTTTCCAGTAGAAGAGTTTTTGAAAGTTATCTTAATTTTTATTTAAAAATTAATTTTTAAAAGAGTTTCTTATTTCATAAATGCTATTATATGAAGTTACATTGGATTGTATTCATCTAAAAACCCTTCTAATTATTAGAAACACTTTTATAAAATTAGTCAAACGGATTCAAAAGCAGTTTTAGGATCTCAAAAAGCTCTTTTTTACTTTTAAAAAGTCACATCGAATGAACACTAAAAATGAGTTTTAAAAAATTGTACCAAACAAGGATTAAATTTACCCATTAGTTCAACAAATTCGTATCGAAACCTTTTCTTACACAAAATATTGTCCAAAATGTGTCATGCCGAAATATTTTTTATTAATCTTTCTTTCATGGCCCTTATTTGGTACAAATTAAAATTTAAATTAGGTTGTGTTTGAGTCACATTATTTTGGAATGGTCTAATTGATGGAGAATGTGTGGTTGAAAAAGGAAAAAAAGTTATTGATGTGATGAAAAATATTATTTTATTGAAAAATATGTGATTTAAAATGAGTAGAAGAATGAAAATGAAAATTTTAACGTGGCTCAAACAGGGGCTTAATTTAAATAAAAATCAACAATTAATTTTACAATAAAGCCATGAGTACATTGAAAATTTTAACCGAATCTGTACTGACGTGGCAAAATGTTATTTTTTCCTTTTTTCCATCTTCCAATGATGTCACGCCGTGCATTGTCTGTAAGGATTTTCTATCAAAAAAGTATGTACTTCTAGCATGATTGTTAATTTTAAAAACATATATAGTGAGATCCACAACTTTTTAATCATACAACTTATTAGATTTTATCAAAATCTATTAAGTTCCTATTTGACAGCTTGGGTTTTTTTTTGGGGGGGATGATGAGTTTTGATGTAGTGATTTTTTTAAGAATGTAATTAAAAATAAGGAAAAAGTTTTTCGGTGAATATTTTATTACGAGAATATATGATTGAAAATAAAGTTGAGAAAAATGAGTTTTGTTTTAATAGTTGTCAAACAGATATTCAAAGTTTGATTTAATCCCAACAAACGGGTGCATAATCACTTTCGAGGAGATCCATGGGTCTTCAGAATAGAAGCTAAAGCTAATTTTGATCCCAAAAAATAGTATGTTTATAATTCACATAAATAAATCCCGAATATGAAAATGATACAAAATAAGTAATCGGCATCGATAATTGTTTATACAAAGAGAAGAAACTATACTATGTAGCCACAGGAAGCAATTTCTCCACGCCCGCGGTTGGAATGCAACCAAACGACCTAGCCAACACGGTGGCGAGGTGGGATCTACACTTCAATGACCTCAAAACTCCCCAATAACTTCCACTCCTCTTCCCACCACCACCAGCTCCACCATTGACCGCCGTACCATCCGCTGGAAACGTATTCACAGTGTCCCGCCGGCGGCTCTGCCGTTGTTTGATGGCACTCAGCTCCATCTCAGGCTTAAACTTCACCGGTCCAAACATAAACATCCTTCTTCTGGACTTGGCCGACATGGACGTAAGTGAACTGATATTCACCCTCTGAGCATGATACTCCATGGCTCCTGACAAAGACCTTGATTGATAAAAATCTAGAGCAGAATTCGACAACATGGTCGAGTTTGATCTGTTCTTAGTCACAGAAGAATTGTTCTTTTCATTGTTCAAGAACTGATCTTCATCATTGTAAATGGAAGCTTTATGAAAAGAAGAAGTTTTAACTGGGGCCGAATAATCTCTCTTTTCATACTCATTGCGGTCTTCTTCGTTTTTACCAAAGGTAATATCAGTATTGGTGTATGGTTGGGAGGTGAATCCGGTAAAGAACTCGAAAAGTTGATCAAATTGAGCTGAAGAAGTTCTTGTTCTTGGGCTCGTCTTCTGATCATCATCTTCTATTCGAAGAAGATTAGAAAAAGAAAGTCTATCTTCTTCGTCTTCTACATTGTAGTATTCGAATTTTTCTGTATGTTCCATTGTTGTAAAGAAAGTGAGATATCGAGATTGGAAGGGTTGTGGAGAGAAATGGTAGGAATTGATATGTATATAAGCACACCCAAACAGGTGCAAAGAAAAAACGACACAACTTCTAGAGGGGAGGGGTTCATTTTAATCAACTGCTGACCATGAAAATTGGATATATAATTCATCAATCTAAGACAGGAAATTAACAAGACCTACTAGAAGAGAAAAATGGGTCAATAGAGAAGAAAGTTACGGAAGAATAAGTAGAAGAAATATTCCGGAGTATGTGTTTGTCTGATAACCTTCTTTGTTTCGGATTAAAATCAGATTTTAATCTAAGTCAAAGTCAAACAATCAATATTAATCATATCTTTTATGGGTCCCACAGTTTTTCAACTACACATTTCAAAAATTTCTATCACAATCTACTAAAAATCTAATTTTAATTCTCACCAAACACCCACTAAGCATATGTCTGGTTTAACCAAAAATCATATTTTCAGTAGATTTCTATAAAAGTTGACAAGACGTGGTTGAATAGTTAGGAATCTTATTAAAAAATTTTGATTAAAAATATGTTTGAGTAAAAGTAAGTTAAATTTACTTTTTTTTTTTTTATTTGGTCAATTTTAAATATTAATATTAAACCACACATTCACAACTAGCGTCTATTTATTAACAACATATTTCTTCGGATCCATTACCGTTGCTTTTAAAAATTTCTAATTATTTTACTCGAACACTCATAAACATATAAAAATTCTAATATATAGTTTCTAGACCACCAGCAACACCAAATGCTATTTGCCACTGATTTTGTCATTTCGCGAATGGGGAAAAAATGTCAAAAACATTGAGGAAAAATGAAAACAAGTTTCCTGGTAACTATAATTTCCTTACAAAAACTTCTTAAATTTGGATAAAAATGAAATATTATAAAAAAGAAAAACAAGGGAAAGTTAAAAATAGAAAGGGATAAAAATGAAATATTATAAAAAAGAAAAACAAGGGAAAGTTAAAAATAGAAAGGGGCATTCCGAGAATTGAACTCGGGACCTCTCGCACCCTAAGCGAGAATCATACCACTAGACCAAATGCCCGCGCCTGATAAAAAATTGAAATTGAATTATAAATATTTAAAACTAGAAAAACCTAGCTAATATTTGGGGTTTAAGCTTGAAATCCGAAGAATTTCGACAGAAAAATGGCAAGAGCTGCCCTGTTTCATTTGGTGCGATCTCGAACCAGTTATCTCAAATCCACAGATTTTCAATCAGGTTCTTTTCCAATCTCTATCAAATCATTCATGTTCATCTATGTATGTTTCTACTTTTGTGTTCGTGTAGTTTTATCTGTATTTGTTTATATTTGCTTACTCTCTTCTGTTAATGCTTTATTTGTTCCCGAAAATCCATATTAATTTCTTCTCTAATTCTCCGAGGCTTATGGTCTAGTTGTTAGGAAGCTGAAAAAGTAGAAGGAAAATTGATGTCTTCTGCTACAACTTTGCGTTTTAAACGCAAATTTGTCTAGATGATGCACGTTAGATTAGTATTCCTATCGAAAAATTTAGATATTCTAGTACATTTATGCGCAAATCCACAGTGCCGTTTGTCAGAAATCAATGGAACATTTGGATTGTCAGAAATCTTTAAAATCAGCTTATAAGTGAGTGTTCTTCAAGTGCTTATAAATCCACATTTCAAGCTTTAACTTGATGACAGAGATCTGGATGATTTTACTGAGCCAGTTTTCTATAAGAAGGAGCCATCCACGTCATATCTTCTGCAGAGGGGCATCTCTTGAAGGGTGCATCCACAATTACCACTGATACAAGAACATAGGGGAAAACTTTGAAACTAACTTGCAAAAAAAGAGGGTGCTCACAGTACTTGTTAGCCACAAGTCAAGCTTTAACTTACTGACGTGGGACTCAATAGAGTAGTTATAGGGTCATAAGAAAGTTTGAGTTGTCTAAAAGGCGTTAGATTGGCCCTAGATTTTTCTTGCTATTTTTCTCTCTCTATGATCTTCCGTCCTGACATTTTTGTGGCTGTGTGTAAATATCTGATCCTGACAATACCATATAAGACAGTCAACAGAGCCACTAATGGACAAATTTATACTGAAATGAATGAGTAGTTTATGGCTTCTATTTGGGTTTGTTAGCTCCTCTATGTACATGTGTGACGTAGCGGATGAACCAGTTGAGTTGTGGAGCTATGTACTGCAGGGGTGGAGTTGCATGGCATTTTTTGGAGTTATGATGTGGCTTGTGTAAGTGGTGTGTGCTTGTGCAAGAGAAATCGGTCTGCCGGCATGTATCTGATGTGTCTCCACTCCCTGAAAGTGTCATATAGTTTGTATTATTTTATTTCAGTTGAGTTGTCTTATTATTTTCAGCGATCAAATTTGGTTGTTTGGATCTATACCCAACAAGAAAGGGAATGAAGCCAGTCTTTCCTATTAGCAGTTTGTTCTTCTACCCTTTTAGCCACAGGTTTAATAATTCCTAAATATACTAAGTATAAAATCAAGACTAACTATAACATCAAGACTAAGATAAAGCCAAAGTGTGCTAAATGTAGAGTTCCTAGTAGAGAACCCAATGTAGGAAGGATGGTATTGTCTTTACTATTCGTTTAGGGCACAGAACATAAACAATTACAGAAGTCCAGATATACTAGTAAGAGGAATTTTTTTATGATTAAGGCCAATCTAAGAGGGATATACACTGTTGTCCTCAGTGAAGTTTATAAACAAAAGAAAAAGGAAGCGATGGCTATATTGAAAGAGAAAATGTAGTGATTTGAGTTGTTTTACATTTGTAAAATGGCTAGTTACTCATAGACTTCTTTTGAAAATCTCCCCAAGCATAGGAAAAAACAGAGACTAAATTAACATTCTTATGTACTAGTGGCTAGTTTGCTACTCCAAAGTTGTGATGCTCTGCACTAGACTATTAGTTGTTCTGACAATTAGTGAAAATTTGTGACCAAGGCAAAATGATGTCTCAATTGTGGATATATCATCATATAGCAGTAAGCAAATTTGATGAAGATCAAACCTTGTTTGTCATACTTTGATTTTGGCGAGCTATAGCATGGTTTTGCTGTTGATCTTTTAATGTTAGTAGCTTATGTGATCTATGTCCATCGATTTAAAATCAATCCATTATCCATGTATCGGAAAGGCATCTTGATATCTGAACCCCATTTCCCCTTTCCCTTTAGGAAAATTATAGCAGGTCCCAGCCTTCGACAAATCAAGCAGTTGGATCCCAATCATCTTTTTTTCCTCCTCCTAGATTCCCAACCTTTCATCTTTGGTACTCATTGGTCCTGCTGCACTTGAACCGCCAGTTTTTCTGTCAAAGCGTAGCATGTCTTGCATGGTGGTCTCTTTTTTGGGATATTTTATCGACCCACTTTCAAAACCAGCTAAAAAAGAAAAAGAAAGAAAAGAAGGAATCAAAAAGATAAAAACAATCTAAAGGGAAAATTCCAGCAACGGTCTCGGTCTTTGTCCTGAATCCCTGAATATTCATTAAACCCTGATGCATATTCTTGTCTACATATTCACTCTTGTTAGTCTTAGCATATTCCATTGCATCAGGTTATCATCTAGGTCAGGTTGGACAATGGGTGCAGGCTCCCAGTGCCAAAATTGACACCAACTTTATCAAGCCATTTGCTGCTCTCGAGAAACGATGGTTATCTCAGTCCACAGTAGCAGAAAATGACAAGAAGATCAGTATTGGACCTCAGAAAGGTGGAGAAATGGGAAATGGAGAAAAGGAAACCGGGATTGTTTATTATGGCCCTATATCAAATACTATCAAGAAAGTGAAGCTTCTCTCTCTTTCCACTTGCTGCCTCTCCGTGTCTTTAGGTCCTGTGATAACTTTCATGACGTCTCCCGACATGAATGTTATCTTGAAGGGTGCAGTGGCATCTTCTGTTATATTCCTAAGTGCTTCGACTACTGCAGCTCTCCACTGGTTTATAAGCCCTTATGTTCACAAGCTCAGGTGGCGACCTGGTTCAGACAGCTTCGAGGTGGAGATGATGACGTGGCTGGCAACTTATGTTCCTAGAACAATAAAGTTTGCAGATATCAGGCCACCAGAGACCAATCGGCCTTTTGTGTCGTTTAAAGCTAACGATCAGTTTTATTTTGTTGATGCAGAGCACTGTCATAACAAGGCATTGTTGGCTAAGCTTACCCCACAAAAAAAAGTGCACGAATCAGCTTTCAAGAATTTATGATGAATAATATTATTTTTGTCTATTTATCTGAAATTCTGCTGGAGTAATTTTTTTATTTGATCTTTTTATCATGTAGAACAATTTCAATTAAAGTGTAATAATGATATATTTGAGGTGAAGTTTTCAGCGTACTCTTCACCTGTTTGGAGCTATGGATATACGTTCTCTTTATCTCTCTCTCTCTTAACCAAGAACGGGAGATTTGCATCAGCAGCAACAGAGCTAAATCCTTAATGCTTGCATCTCCTGTTTATTTGTTAGTATATTTCTTCTCTCCTGGCGGCCTCGGCCTGCCTTGGCATTTTGGGGCCTTTATATGAGACCTCTATATATACATTATGAGTTTATCTGTAGATAAATATTGAAAGCACTAAAATTATGGGGTTCTAATCTATGCAAGGTTCTAGACAGAGCATATACCATCTATAGTCAGGGACAGGGTTGGCTCTGTCGGAATTTTTTTTCTTTACATTGGACAACCACTCAAGCTGTCGTCTGTCATTTTTGTTCACTTGAATTTCTGAATCTGTCACTAAGTCAGGGCATCGCAACTGGTCCTATTCTTCTATTGGTTGAAGTTCAATTTTTTCTTGGACAATCATGAACTTTGGTAGAAGTAATTATAATCGTGATCATGAACTAACGTAGAAGATTTGTCCTGCCCCATAGTTGATGAAAAGCAGCCTGAAGATAGAAACGTGTAGTACAAATGTTGCATTGATTGGATGAAATAATTTTCTCTGTTTGGCACCTATTTTTTAAAATTTATATTTTCTCAAATTTATTTTTAACTATATAATTTATGAGATTCACAATTTCTTAATCATATATTTCGTCAATTTTTATTAAAATTTATTAAGAATGTGATTTTTAATTTAAAAAAAAAAAAAAAGTGGGGGATGCTAAAATTCAACCATGTTGAAGTGGATTTAAAAAAAATAGCTAAAGTTTTTTTTAAAAAAATTAAAATATGCACACGATTAAGGGCTAATGTGCAATTTTCTATCCATAAATGCTTTTAAACTATAGCAAAAGTCCAATCTCTCTTACACAGAAACACCGTTTTTCACAAAACTGAGAACCTATGCCTGGTTGTTGTAAGCAAAACCCTAATCAGAAATCCCACCTCGATCTCAATTATAGCCTTCATTGATCCATTGATTCGACCCGTTTCTCTTTACAAGTGCATCAAACAGCATGGAAAATAATGAAAATCGAAGCAATATACCGAAGAAAATTACGAGTGGGTGTAGTTAAAATTGGTATTGTTTTGATTTTGTTTACTTTTTTGTAAAGATGTATAAGAACCAGCTACAGGAGCTGGCTCAGCGGAGTTGCTTCAATCTTCCATCGTATGCGTGCATCAGGGAAGGTCCCGATCACGCGCCGCGGTTCAAGGCTGCCGTTAATTTCAACGGCGAGACGTTTGAGAGCACTAGCTACTGCTCGACGCTTCGACAGGCTGAGCACTCGGCTGCCGAGGTGGCTCTCAATGCCCTTGCTAGCCGTGGTCCCTCCAACACCCTTGCTGCCAGAATTCTGGTAAAATTTGTTTACTTGTCGAGACACATTTTGAGGAGGGTTTAGTAGCTTCGCTTTCATCTGATCTATGTGGATTTCATTTTTGTTCCTTTTAGTGATTTTTGATGGTGAATTTATATCTGACTTTGTTATTGCTGATTCGAATTTAAGAAGAAAAGAAGGAAATGGTATAAATGTTTTATGTTACACTGTGCTTTTAGATGACTTCTAAGACCTACTGCTGGTAATTTGGTGAGTGCTTCATTTTTTATGTTGGAGTGAAGAGTTTATTTGTTTGGTAGAGCAGATTGCAATATTTACTTATCAAATTTGTTTCTTGGTCTTTGTTTTCATGTTTGTAGTCTTGGAACTGTGCCTCGAGTCATGTCCAAATGCTATATTAGCCTGCTTGGGACTTGTTTGTTGGAATTGAATTAAAGCAAATTAAGTTATGAAAATTTCTATTAAAATCTGTCAAAACATTCCTGGTGTGTTGGAAGCCAGTATAAGATTTCTTGTCCAGTTTTGCATCTCATGCTTTCCTATTTTGTATGGTGGATTTGTGATTAATTTTGTGCCTACATATATTGCTTAGGACCATATGATGCAATCAAGGCGGCTTCTTTGCACATGTTTTAGCCTCTCTTTAGAAGCTTGAGCCAAAATAACCTCAATCATTCCGCTAATCAAGCTCAACCTTGCTAAAAATAGGAAGGGAATTTTGCAATTTTCAATTTCTCCATTAAATTTAACTTCACTTTGATTTTGTTTGGATTTTCCAATACTATGATTCTACCATCAAGGTGTCAATTGTGCGAGGATTGTCAGAAATATTTTGGGACAACATGATGCAGTACATGTCAGATGTAATGCTACATTTTTCAACATTGACATTAAAGAATTCAAATTTTAAACCTCAACAGATGGCAAGCTAACTATATCTTGTTTATTTTGTTAACACCATTAATGAGTCAAGCATTGATTGTAGTAAATCATAGTAAGCCATTGAGGGACAAAATCGTGACTATATCATCCAGGCTCAAAAGCTTGCACAGCAATCCCAACAAAAGCTAGAATTCATTAGTTGGTCCTTTTAAATTCCTAATCAAGATTGAATTTACTACCTAGCCCGTGTTTGATAGTCATTATTTGGCAAAAACAAAGTTTTGAATGGTAAACTTTTAGAAAATATATGGATAAAAACTAAAAAGTATGGAAAAGTTTTGGGTTTACGTGCAGAATATTTTACTGTATGAATGTGTGGTTGAAAATAAGTAGGTAGAATAAAGAGTTTTGAAATAATGATTGTCAAACAGGGGCTTATACTTCTCCTAAAACTCTAATTACTGCTTGCTGACCAACTTGTAGACATAATCGTGAAGTGTTGAGATTGCAAACTTGTGATATTAGAAAAAATAGTGCCTTTGAGCATTTTTTTTTTAATGATTAGTTAAAGGAGAATAGAAACGTAAAACTTTGTGTAGATAATTATGTTCATATAAGAATAAATAATCAATTCAAAAGATTTGGGGACCCAATGACCAAGATTCATCCAGCTTCGCAAATGACCATCAATGAAATAGCGTAAAGTCAATTCCATTCCAAGCATTAAATTTGTTGAACGTGTAATTTTGTAAATGCCCATCATTGCAAGAGGCTGCAATTTGTGAAAACTTTGAGGATCGTTTGAAGACAGATTCTCGAAAAGAAGATAGTAGAAGAACATATTTAGGTAAAAGGATGAATATTTAGAACGTTGGAATGCATATGATGTAAAAAAATTTGTTCGAATATAATCCACAATGTATATCCCTGACAAGGTAGAGGGCTTCCCCATGTTTGATAATTGAACATTATATACGTGTTATGGCCTGAAAGTCATGTTGAAGTCCGCTAATCAGAGGTCATGTACAGTCTTCGTTTATTGAAATAATTTGATCGGTGTTTCTCATAATTGATTGTTGACGCTGGTACTATGCTTTGCAATATACAGGATGAGACTGGTGTCTATAAGAATCTCTTGCAGGAGGTCTCACAAAGAGTGGGAGCATCTTTGCCTGCATATACTACTTTCAGATCAGGCCTAGGACACCTTCCCATCTTCACCTGTACTGTAGAGTTGGCAGGCATTATATTTACTGGTGAGCCAGCTAAGAACAAAAAGCAGGCAGAAAAGAATGCGGCCATGGAAGCTTGGTTATCTCTGAAATCTTGTGAGTTATCCTAGTCTTCAATGTCCTGATATGTGCATGTTCTTTTATGGAGAGAAGAATAACTTCAACTTTGACATCTATATCATGATTTGCGTTGTAAGATGTCACTTTTGGGAAAGTTTATGTTTTCTCGAGGAGAAAGAATATTTTAATTTATACAATGCAAAACTATTAAGCCTCTGTTTGGTCCAGATTAAAATATGATTTTAATCCAAGTCAAAGTCAAACAATCAATATTAACATCTTTCATGGGTCTCACAACTTTTCAACCACACATTTCAAAAATTTCTATCACAATCTACTAAAAATCTAATTTTAATCTCCACCAAGCATCCTCTAAATTCAGATTTACTTGCTAAATTGTACCCTAAGTATTACTATCAAACTTTCCACAAAAAGAGTTTATTACCCAATAAATAAATGTGGGAAATGGAAGTTACATTACAGAGAAGGGAAAAGCACATATAGTTTAGCATTTATATAAGAAACTATTTTGTGGCAGTCTGCAGAGCTAGGAACTTTTGTCAACAGTGGCAGCTAGCTTCATCTTAAAACTATTATGTTATTATTTCCATTAGATTCCTCTAGTTGATTCAACGTTAGTCACTAGAGTATATCTGGCTTTTCCTCTAAACCATAAGGCATTATAGTGAGAGAATATGATATTAAAAACAATTTACCCCTGCTTATCTTAGAGGTCAATTTGGCCTACTGTTGTTGCAATAATAATTTTACCGAACTCTCAATTTGCAAATTCAGAATCAAACAAATTCAATTCTGAAATAAACCAAACCCACCTTCATTCCCATCACATATTTGAATGGGGAAATATAGAATTTAGTTTGAAACCCAATGCTTCATTAGGAACTTGCAGAGTGTGTGGTTAGTTTCCCCAAAAAAAATTTCTGGAAATTATTTTCCGAAAATTTTTTCCCCGAGAACAAGGGATGATTTGGTGTTTTCTGTTGGAAATTTTAGGTACTATTTTCAGTATTCTGGTGAAACACCCTTGTCAATTACCATCACCTTTTACTTTAAACAACACAGCATTTTGGACCACCTAATAACAGAACTTCATATCCAAGCCTGTTTCCCCTGTTTTAACATGTGCACGGCCAAACTCATTTTTACTTTTGACACAGCACTAATTCCAAATGCAATACCTAATAGTTCAATATATTATTCTGTCATCATTCCACTTGATAAGAGTTTTTCTATTTTGAAATTAGCAACCATCTTGAACATTCATGATCAAAAGAAAATGTAATACTGCGTCAATTTCTTTGCCTTTGTTGGTTTTAGTAATATTACTATAAACATGTAATTTTTTCTTTTCATGGCACAGAAAAATATGACTAACAACCCAAAATAATGCTAATGATTATAAATAAAAAGGTGATTTTACCTGGTACCCTCTAAGTGATTTTGTGGTTTTGATCAATTTGAAAATAGGCAGAGGTTTATCCTTATATAATTTTATATTATTTCCAGTTGTACAAAGCGCGATTACTTTGCATGATGTTCTTCAATTTTTTTGTCTATCCAGTAGTGCAACAATTTGAGAGTTCAACATCAGAAAGGACGCACAAGGATGAGCAGGAGCATGTAGCAGTAACTCGCGCTCTGCAAAAGTATCTCATACAGGCAAAATTGGCAAAGTTATCATTTCCAATAAAATTTCCTACATCAAATTTGAGGTCATCAAGTACCCAGCAGCCTACTGCTACATCATCAAAAATTTTGCCTTTAATATGCCCAAGGGCAGCTCCTCGTAACAAGCCTATTATGGCTGTGAACTACAAAGCGTCCCCAAAAACTGCTAAGACAACTCAAAGTCAACCAGCAATTTCTAGCACAAATGAGAGTTCCACGTCATTAGTGGAGAACCATCCGGTTGGGCCTCAAAAGTTCCCTGCAGTTGGAGCAGCACCCTACATTCCAGTCCGGCATTTTAACCCGCATCATAGAATTGCACCACCAGTGACAATAAGAAATGCAATTCCTGTTTTCTCTGCAACACCATTTCCTCCACCTCAAACTTCACTAATGATGGGGCCTCAACCTTTGTGTGTGGCACCACCTGTCTGCATGAGAAAGGCTGTTCCCGTGTTTGCTGCTGCTCCTGTTAGGGTAGAGGAGCTCCCCATGTTACGTCCAACAATTCGAGTAGCGGATTCACGGATTTCCAAACCAACAACTAAGGTTGAGGAACCATCGGGTTCTAAATTTTCACGAGTTCCTGTAGAGGACCCACCAGTTTCCAAAGCAACACCTTGTAGACTGGATGAGTCTCAATTGTCCAAGGTTTCTCCTCTGGTTCAAATTGAGGAACCTCTGGGTTCAAAGTTACAAGCGGGGCATGTAGAAGGGCCACTGGATTCTGAGGTTTTGGCAGTTGAAGTTGAACCCTCAGTATCTCGAGCCTCAATAGTTCAAGTTGAGTCACCAGTTTCAACGGTTATTGGCCCTGCAGCGAGTTCAAAAGCTTCTACAGAAGAATCTAAGATGGCACCACAGGACAAACTTCAGGAGTCTCTGGAGATTGAAGGCTTTAAAGAGCTAAAGATATGAAGATTCTGGTAGGGCATTTTTAATAGCAATAACCTTTGGTAAGATCCGTACTGGCTGCTTTATAAAGATTTTGATTCTCTTTTTCTTTTAGTTTCCCTTACCTGCTAGGATTGGAAACTACTGGAACAAAAATATCAGAAGCATTGATATAGAAATATCTGGTACATGAAGCTTACAAGCTTTTCAGCTAAATCCATCATTTTCCTCCTCTGATGGAAAGCGGGAAGGAGGCAAGATATACCCGACCTGTCTTTCCTTGTTTAGGGAGAATTTTATGTTATGTCACTTCAGCCAAAGCTACCTTTAAAGTCAAAAGTTTCTGAGCATTTGGCTACTGCTTTTCTGGTTTTTGAAAACTGAACTTCACAAAATATCAGATGTGTTGTAATAATAGTGGCTATAAATCTGCAAGGAATTTGGAATATGAAGTCTTTGTTGCTCCATGAGTCTATCCTGTCACGCACAGTCTTCATTCATAGGCAGAATTGCCCCGTATCGTTTATTTTAATCTAGCATCTCTATCGTAGTTTGAGCTCAAACGATCTCTGTTTCGTAATAGGAAAGTGTATTCCAGCAGGGTATGTCTGTATATTTCTCCGAGTTTCTTCATGGATATACTTGCATATTTTCTTCGTTCTTGTTCAACATAACCTGTGATATAATGAAAGGCTAAAACATTGGAAATTCTGTTACTGCAACTTAGACATAATTATTAATTTCAACATTGATTTCAAATGTTATTTTTAAAATGATCACCTATGTCAAAATATTTTTTTGGAATGCCCTCCTCCCACGCACTGATCAGTAAGGACTGGGGATTCCACGAATTTTCCTGTCCTGGTTTGTCTTTTCGTTTTTTGACAGACTACTTCAGTTGCTTTGACTGCCAGGTAACAGTGCCAGCCTTGAGGGATGCCTCAAATTTCTGTTTCTGGTTAATTTTTTTAGTTTTTTTGGCAGAGATGAGTTCGTGTTTTCTTTGATTGCCAGGTTCCAATGTGAGACTGGGGGGATGCCCTGAATTTTTTTGTTTTTGGTTTTTCTTTTTCATGTTGTTGACAGACTTCTCAGTATTTGCTTTGATTGTTAGTTTTTTGGCAGAGATGAGTTAGTGTTTTCTTTGATTGCCAGGTTCCAATGTGAGACTCGGGGGATGCCCCCCTGGATTTTTTGTTTCTGGTTTTTTTCGTTTTTCATGTTGTTGACACAGACTTACCAGTATTTGCTTTGATTGTCATGGTTTTCGAGCTCTGACTGTTGTTTTTGTTATTCTTGTATTGCCCTTTCTGCATAAGCCGCTTGCTTTCATAGAAATATCCCATCTCAAAAGAAAAATTGTTGCCTTATATTCCTATGCGCAATAAAATAATCCGCGTCAATCATTCTTACTATTAGGATGCATATGAATTGATCAGCCAAAGTGGTTAGGCATGTAATCAAAGTGCGAGTTCGGGAGAATTGTTTGCCATCTTCAATGATTGTTATCGACGTAGTAGAAAAATCTGGTCTGGGTTGGGCTGACTCATTTTACGATTCTAGTTTCATCCAATTTCTTACATCATTACATATAATGGGCTCTACTTAGTCCAGTAGACAATCTCACGCAAGAATGGATGATGATCCCAAATCATAATTTAATATATAGTATTCTAATAAATTAGTAAAGCGAAATTCTAATAAATGTTACCGACAAGCTTAATTGTCATCTTAAATGTATAATTTTGATAGGAAATCGATTAATGTAACATAGCAACTTATCCGCTGATGAATAACATGACTCACCATTAGGAACGTGGTATCGACGACCTGGTAACTCCGAAATGTGGGAGATGATCAACAAGTCGTTGAAGGCTAGGGGTATATTTTTGTTGTGGTCATTTTGACGGTCCATTTTGATGGTGACCTCAACGACAGTAGTTGAGAAGTTATTATGGGTCTTGAGAGTCCATTTTGCTGATGACATCAACTACCGTTGCTGAAAAGCAAATACCGGCGAACATCTTAGACGACCAATAAGCATTGATCGCATTTGACAGCTGATAACTTGATGGTGCCGTAATGGACTGGCTGGCACTGGTGATAGCTATTGAAGTTGAGCGTAATAATTTGTTAAAATGAAAACTGAAAATTGCAGTTACAAGGTGCAAATTAACCTAGTTTCAAAAATACATGACGCCATTCAGCCTGAGGGAATGAATAGAAACAGAACTTTAATATGTTCCCAATGCATTCAATCCCTCGAAAGATTCTTGATATACTCGGTAAAGCAGATCGGATAAAAAAAAATTTAAAGAAAGTTAAAATCTTGTCCATTACAATGGTCTCCCCATTTTCCTGACTCTTCTATATAACAGTTGCCTTTCTTATCCTGCCCTCGCCTGCACCATAAATGTTTTTCCCTTCTCCTCAGTCCAATTTGAGCTTCGAAGTTCAAACTGACGAGAATTGTTAAAACCCATCTTGAGGATTGAAGCAACCAAATACGTATGGCATCTCCTTCACATGACCAGAATGGCACGAAGAGAAGACAGAAAATGACAGTCATAAGCAAGGCGACGCTAAAATTAAATTGCAGATATTTCAATACGCTGCAAGTTGCAACTGGAAATCCACATTGTCCAAGAAGTAACAGCATTACAAGGGATAAAGGAAACGAAATTACTGAAGTCATGGGACAAGACTCCAAGCTTCAAGCATGATGTCATCATCTACAAAAGGCCGCAACGACCACATCAGGCAATAGCTCTCCAATTCTTCAGGTGATGACTTGAGAGTAAGTGAGCCAACAATCCGTTCCTACAGCAAATAAACCGATGCTGTTATAATTGTAGTACCTTTTGACCTGGGAAAATCACCAGTTGTACCAGATAAAAGTCATCGACTAGAACAGACCCGTTGCATAATTAACTAATGTGGGGTGGGGGAAGATACCTGCATTATGTACTCTTTTTTCAGCATACTGTATACAACAGCCATCATTGCAGCATAATCAGTATCTTCGGGTTTTGAAAGATCTAATGATGGTCTTTCTTCCTGATGCATATCTTAGTAAGTCAGATCAACTAATCAAACTTAAATAGATGGTTGTAAGGAAGTATGTTTGAGACTGATAAAGAAGACACTATTCATCAAATTCCGATTCAGGCATGCAATTAGTTAAAAGAAAGATCAAGCCAGATTATACAATTTCAAGAAAGAAGGTGAGATTACAAGCTAATAGTATTCCAACATGCAAGTAGCGTAAGACATGTAAATTCCAGTCATTCATCGAAGGGACAAAAACAGGAGGGTGGGTGCTGATTGGGTTGGTTTAAAGAGGCTTCTTAAAATAAAATTCAAAATATTCTCTGATTGCACAAAGCTGCATTGAAAATTGAACTAGAGGAACGATTCAAATTTTTGAGACAGACCAATTAAATGACATCCTGGAGAGCTGAAGTGAGAATTACTCTCCACTACAGCAGAATCATACACGTAAATAACATAATATGATTTCAGAATCAGTTCAAATTTCCTAAATGAGTGCCTAGTCAACAGGTTACAAGCCTACAAAATGCACAAAGTAATACTTGCATTAATGAGAACCCCAAACGAAAGCTTAATCGTTAGAATTATATCCTCTTAAGATGTCTCAACTAATATAACCAGCAACACCATTGTTATAAACGAATCTCCAATATCATATTGAAATTATGGGAAGATACAGAAATTTCGTCTCCAATTATGAACGATAAAAAGCTTTTCCACCGACATTTCATTCAAAAAATGTAGAATAAGACCATATGAGTAGAGAAAATCATCTTACTAGGTTTCTCTGTTACCATTGCATAACATGGATCAAGAACAAACAAATTAATATTATATATTATATATACTTCTAATCTTCCTTCTGGAATTTTCCACTCTACTTTCTTCTTTCAAGGTTTGGGGGAGGGAGGCATGCAAGGATGAGGTTGGGGGTTACTTGGGGAGAGTTTAGTTTAACGCACTGCATAAATTGATGACAGACACACACACACAGATCTTACTTTCTCATACTCAGACAAATAGGAATCTAAGTTTCCATTAACATGCTCATCTTGCGAAAGTGACCAATTCTCATTTATAGTTTGGATTGTGCCCGCTGCATCATCAAGAAGGCATTCAAGTTCACCAACAACACCTCTTGCTGAAAATAGATGTAGACAACATATATTCAGATACAAATAAAATGACATAGATTCCAAAGATAAAAGCTTATGGAGGGAAGGGAAAAGAAAAAAAAAAGGAACACTGGAATGAACATCTACTTTCAGGCAGATGCATATATTTGTTGAGAAAATTTTTAGCATCTGCTATGGCAATTAAGATTCATGGCATTTTACTTGCCAGATAGATTATCATCAGTTGGTGGAAAGTAAACAAGAAGGCGAAGGAAAAGAAAAGAACTATGTTCCAATTCAACGGCAACAAAAACAAAGTGATTCAGAAATTTCAAATCATTAGAATGAAAATGTGCAGTTATTACACGCCGAGAATATAATAAACTTCCTTCTTATATGTGCTACATGGTATCTTCTATTTCCGATCATGATTGATGATATCAAGTTTGTATATGCAAGTAATATAACTATCTCACATAACAAAGTATATTTATATTTATTTTGGTAAACGATACCGTAATGATATTTTGCTATGAGAGGGAGGGGTAGACCTAAACTAGCATCGCCTATTGTAGTCGTAAAGCATGCAATGATTTAGATCTTCCACTAGATCAATCAATAAACCGACTGGAGCAGAGAAGAAGAATTCATGTAGCCAACACCAAATTTATTGGGATATCAATATTACCTTCTGGGCATAACAATTATTAGTTTTTGCAGCACAGAATGCAGTCAATTCCTATAATGTAGTTAAGAATTATTAGAGATTATTAACTCATTCAATATTAATCATTCAACTAACTAGAGGAAAAATTAATTTTGATAAAAAGGAAGATTAAAAGCGAGAAAAAACAGATGGCAACTGGCAAGCAATATAATTTCAGAAATAATAAGGGCGATGAAGCCTACATTCATAGAATGAAGTATTAGATGCAAAAACTATTAATATCAGGAACTAGCGTGAAAGTTTGCCAGACAGAAATTGATACAGCTGGAGTTGGCACTGATATGTCGAGATACTAAAAAACTTACTTTGGATCTACTCATAAAATGTATAGAATATAGCAGAAACATAGTAGCATCCAAGAATTTAACCAGACTCACTATATCATAATAGAGTCCAAATGAGTAACAGTCATGAAAGAGAAATATACCTTTATTTATATGGTCTTGAAGTCCAAGATGGCATGTATTCACTTCTGCATGTATATCCATTAGTTTATAAAGGAATCAAAATTAGATTGAGACCAGCAAGACTCAAGTTCTAAGTAATTCTGAAATAACGTAACCCTGATTTACAAGGAAAATAGGAAAGCCGTAAAGCAACAACAGCATTTATTTGATCATAACAGTTTCTGATTGCATCACTGAACAACTGGTCACGTGCTGCCGAGTAAAGAAGCAGAATAATAGAATGCATATAGAATACATGAATGGATACAGTTAAGTGCAATCTGTAGAGAAGAGATGATCTTTCAAATTGGTCAAGGCTCTCTAGTTTATGGCCACTTCTCTATGGTACCAGTTGTTGTTTTATTGAATTTGCTTCACTAATAGGATCACGATTCAACTTTGATGTCATGGATTAGTACCAAGATCGAGTCCTGGACAAGTGGATCTAATTTTAACAGCCGGAACACTAACAATTAGCGAAGGAAGTAACATTGACCACATTGTTTCTACCACAGATCAAAAGATTACAGAAATCAATAATGCAGAAAACTAGAGATTTTTGTTATTCTTTACATACGTTTTTTCATGTGACCAAACAGAGGAACATTTTATTTCACAATTTTTGCTTTTGCTTACCAGTTAAGTTCACTTAAAAAAAAAAAGAATTTGTCCTACAATATTCTAAGAGCATTCAAGAATTTTTTTGCTTGGTCTTCATCAGTCAACTGAAACCTTAAAAAGTGTCCCTCAAGTTGGATAAAACTAATCACTTTTCCCAATACCCTCTATCAATCACAGAGGAAAAGAATGTTCTCATCACGTAAGTGTTACACAGAATAGGAAACCAGAACAATCACTGCTTGACAGACATACAGACATATAGGCAAGATATAATTGTACTTTTCAAACCAAGCCCTGCTCTATAACAACATACAACACCCATTTGTTAAAACTTTATGAACAGTCCAGGGGTGGGAAGGAGTCTATTTGCAGTGCTGCAGAAGTGCTAATAATAATGAAAATTCTTAAGGCTCGTGCTATTTCTGGTGGCTGGAAACTCATTGCCAGTGGCCATCATCGTCTTCTTCACAGAATTTACCAGTGGTGATGTGGGGTTGCTTTTTATTTTTAAAATTTTTACATTTTTTTCCTTTTCTATTTTTTTTTTTTATTAGGGAGATAATTTTATTGTTTTATAGGAGCGAATTGTTATCTCAGTCAAATTCTTTAAGTTTCTCAAGGTGCCATTAGAACAAATCAGCAGAACTGGGCGCGTTATGTTTTCATATATACTATGGGTGTGCAGAACATAAATCATAAACAATCTAACTTTGTTGGTAAAATAAATGTCAGTAAATAACTATGTTGTGGATAAATGTTGATAAATAACTATGTTCTGGAAAAGGTTGTTTTTCTCTCCCTGATATTAAAAAAGTTATACACCACATAATGCTATTCACTCGCACAATGATGGTGGAGAAATCCACAGATCAAAATGTTATGAATACAGAAAACCAGGGGCATTGCATAAAGAATGTATTATTGTCTAAAAAGTACGACAGTGAAGACTTGAACTTTTGGAAGTGATAAAGACACTTACACTTGTTTAAATTTTGTGTACTGCCATCAGTTTTCACACATCCAGCCTCAACATAGGAATTAAGCCTTTTAGTCTCTTGACCTTTGATAATGCACATCGCCAATTCAGAGATCTTATCAATTCGAGGCCTACCTAAAAACCCTGCATAATTATAAGGGCAAATTATTAAGATCTTGCAGAAGACTAGACGTCACATCCAATGCTACACGGATGCAGGCCCAAAATCGGCCTAGTAGAAAACAACAAACAACAATTCAAATCTGAATCCATAATTTCGAATTCCAATTCCAATTCCAAGACCTGATTTCCATGCCGTCAAACTTGCCTAAAAGTTAGAGCATATTTGGTTAAGCTTAAACATAAGTAAAAAAGTTACTTTTAATTTTTGGAATTTGGATATGTTACTTATTTTGAAATTACACTTGACTTGCTGTCAAATAAGTAGCTTACTTGCTTTCAATATTAACCAATAAAAATTTATTTATTTAGAAACTTATTTAATTATAAGTAATTCATTCATAAGCAGGCTATTTAAGTTTGGCCAAACACGCAATATAATTCTTGCAGCCCAAATCAAGGAAGGAGAAAAACACGCAAAATACACTCACCGAGTGCTTGCTGAAAGCCAACGAGTAATTTGCTTCCGACGTCTGCTAGTTCTTCAAGCATGGTGATCCTGCAACGGAAGTGCCGGCATAAGGTGTAGTCGTAAAAGAGAATAAATAACTAAACAACTGGAACCCTACACATAAACGACGCACCAACCGAATAAAGAGCAAATGATATAAATTAATTGTTCAATAATATTTAAAAATTTAGAATTTAACCTTGTCATGAAATCTGAAAAAAATTGAATGATTTTCTCCTTGGACTCAGGGTTCTGTTTGTGTTCTTTATCTTCCATTCTGCAGAATATCGGATTTTCCTAAACCCTAAACTGATGAGGGCGGTGTGCGCGCGTAAAGGAGGAAGCGGCCAGGAGAGACGTTTTATTTTTAGCCTGATGGGCATGCTTGCAACTATTCGCTTATAAGTTAATGTGTTTACAAGTAAATGGAGTTATATGTTTCATTTGCCACCGAATTTTGCCGCATGTCACAACTTGCTCACTGAACTTACAAAAGCGGCAACTTTGATCCACCATTCTCCATTACTTACCGGATGGATGTTGTTTCAATTGATTCACACATGGAGGATGGAAATCTGATGTGGTTTGTTAACTCCTACGTGTTAAATGACACCAACTCATCCCACATAAGTTGAAAAGAAAGTGCAATATAGTGGAGAAAATAATGGATTGTCGGCCATGAAAATTAAGTAAAATGTTTCAACAATCAATCGACTTTAGCTACTGTCACGGGTTACTCGCCAACTTTAAATTGCTTCTCAATGATCACTCATCTTTGAAATGTTACGTTTCATCCATCATCGACTAGATTCTATTTCATCCATTGTGACTCAGGGCACAAAAAACCAACGTAGCAAATAACAACAGTTTAAAATGTTACATGTTCGTCGAAGTAACTTCATGGTCAATTACTTTAGAAATTTCAGACGTGAAAATCAAATCGTCTCACCTCCAATCTCGAAAATCAGCCAACTAGCCCACAAAATAATCCACTAGGACAGCCTACACAGCCCCACATCTTAAGGAGATTTCATTTCGTGCACGTGGAGGGACCGCACGGAGGTAAAGCCCACCTTTCAATTCGTGCACATGGAGGGACTGCACGGAGGTAAAGCCCACCTTTTTTTTTTTTTTTTTCTTGGGTGTTCGTTGCACAAAGCTGTCGGTGAAGAACATTTTTTTGGTTGAATCAATGCTGCGGTTGGGTGGGAATGCTAGTAAAATATTTGTATGATTTGCAGTTTTTGATTGTGTATTGCAATATGGTGTCTTTTTTTTCATTGTTTTCCATTTGTAAATGTGGTGGTAACATTTTAGTGAATTAAATGCCACAAGAATGTTGGGCTTTTCAAGGGGTGACCAGCGTCGACCAGAGTACCTACGTTGGCCATCATTTTGAAGCCTGAGGATATGATATGGCAGTTGTGATGGAAAAGCCCACGTCAAATATTGTTCTGCACGTGGTTGATGGAGATTAAGCCTCGTTTGACTTTCATTATTTGATATTATAATTTTTTACAGTGTTTTTTGCGAAGACTGTGATTTTAAAAAAAAAAGAATTTGTTTTGAATTTACGTGATATTATTTTATTGAAGAACGTGCTGTTAATATGAAGAGAAAAAATGGATAATGATTTTAATAAGGACCAAACGGAGGCTAAAATTAATTTTTTTTAGTAAATTTTAGTAAAAGTTGATTAAATATAACGATAAAAAATTGTGAATCCCATAAAAATATTATATTTAAAATTAGTTATTGACTTTGACTTACTTAAAATAATAATACAGTAGAGAAAACATCTGATGTGAAAGGAAGGAAAACGAAAACATGAAACCCAATTTAGTCCTCGTCCCAACAAACTATGGGTCATCGGAGTATCGGTTCAACCATTGAGTTCAAAATTTAGACTAATTGTATTCACATCATATTATTTTTATAGGGGAATTACATTTTAGTTGCATGAAAAGTCCATAACATTGACTCATTGTAATACTTATGTTCCAATTTTTTTTTCACGCATTCATATTCACAATCTTTCATTAATTAGTACATATTATCTCTAATTACGATTTCTGTCATTCAGGACAAGTTCGCTAATTAATAAAAGGTTGAGAAGAAAGAAATAAAAATTAATTTATCTCGACCTAATGTTGATAGTATGTCCGTGGGGAACGAAAAATGTCTCGGAAATATAACACAACCCTTCTTTGATGGTCATTATTGAAAAAAATGATGTTTTAAATAGTGATTTTTCATCGTTAAAACAATACCAAGCAATCAAATAACAAGAGGCAACCATCCAAGAGGTAATTGAATAGAAATGGAATATAGGCAAGAGTTCAAACTCATATAACTAATTTAAGAAATTCCTATAACAAATTAACTGCAAAAAGAATTCCCAAAAGTGGGAAATGGAAGAACACTGACCACAAAGCTATAATATGATGACCTAAACAAGTCTAAAAACTAAGCACTGACCCCTAAACTTCATTTTAATGTCTAACCTTTTTCTGATTCTCTGATCATCTCATTCCTTCTCTCTACTTAGCTAAATATTGTAAACTAGAGCTCCTGACCCTCATTGCATCACTGTACAAAGAACCAATGAACAAACAAATGAAAGAACCTGCTATAGAATGGCAACGAGGAATGGTTTCGTCACATGCATACCGGTGAAGCTTCTGGGGTGAACTCCGGTTTAGTGGCAGTAGGGGTGTTCGCTACTGAACGTTCTCCGGTCTTGTTTCTCATTTCGACGACTTTCTTGTGAGAATTCGAGTGCAAAGTGGGACTGAATGTAGGACTTGCAGCGGGGCGATATTCAGGGAACAATCGGCCTGACTTGTAGCGGACGCCACATGCATTGCAAAGAGTTTTCGGCCCCATTGGGCCGGCCCTCCATTGGGGAGTCTTCGTTATCTCACAGTGCAAGCATTTCCTAACCGCTTGTGTAGGGGGAGTCTGATTGGACTCGGGTGGAATGGACAATTTGATTTTCTTCTTCTTTTTTTCAACTCCATAAACCGGTTTGGGGATCTTCTTCATTGGTTGAGACTCTGCAAAGTTCTCAACTTCAGAGGAAACTCCAGGAGTAACAAATGGCTGGGGAATCTCGATGGAGGAGAATGGAGGGGATATGAGTTGGATAGCAGTTCGGGGATTGAAAGTTGCTGGACGAGGACGCTTGCTTCGAGCACGTTGTGGACCCCGGTGACTCGGACTGAGAGGCATAGTCTTCCCTCCAGTGCAGGAGCTGCTGCTGCTACTGCTGCTCTCAAGTACAGAAATGGGACTCGATGATTGGAATTGGTTATGTGATGGCTCTGTGTTTACGCACATGTTTTCCTTTCCAAAGGTCGACCCTCCACCCGAGAAGGAATCCTCCACAAATGTCGAAAGCCATTCTAGCTGAACAATGTCTTCATACTGGGGGAACACAACAAAAGAAAGAATCAGCATTTATTGAACATAAATTTGAAATTTTGAATTTATATTGCACATATAGGGGCAAAATTGCAAAAAATCTTCAAGCTTTCTTATTGATTGCGCTGAGACCGTACCACCGAAGCTTTAAAACGTTGAATTTTAAATATATAAATTCGAAATTCGACCAAAACTTGTCCCCACTATTTCAACATAGCAGAATTTATCATAGATATCATACAGATATGACAAAAAAAAAAACCTATCAAAAGCCCTTTCCCTTCCAAGAAGGTGTCAATCAACATCATCAATAATATGCCAAGAACTGATCATCCCAAGTGGGAATAAATAGCATTATTCATATGGCAATATAACTTTAACACAGACTGCCAAAGTGGCAAATAGAACGAATTAACGACATAATTAACGAACGCAACAACAAACTAAACCTTGGTCCAGCCAACTAATATACTCACATAACGACAACCATAAATTGAGCGATAAATGGCAGGATTTGAGCATGATTGTCAGCAAAAATAAACATATTTCGTAATCACAAATTATAAACTTGCACAATAAATGATTCGACAAAATTCACCAACTGCATACATTGGACTACTTTGTAACACAATGAGGAGCAACAAATATCATGGAAATAGAGTATAACATATTGATGCTCACCGGAACAGCAAGCTCAGTCGAGAGGTCGGAAGCAGCATTGCTAGTGTTGCCAGAGAAAAGGGGGTCGGTATCTGGAAGCGCATCATCCCAAATGCTCGGAAAATCCTTGATATCACCATTACCAACAAGGCCACCACCAGCACACTCATTTTCCGGGGGGAACTCAATCAAGTCATCAATTTGATCAAAGAAGTTTCCACAGTCAATTTCATCCATGAAATTAGGCCCCATCACCCTATATTTCTACAAAAATTTTCCTGTAATAAAAAAAAATATAAATATACTTAAGAAAATACTATATGCGAGCATATTAACGTTGCATACAAACAGATAATGAACGAATGGATAAATAAGAATCTCTAGAATAGGGTTTGATGCTAGCGTGCGCAAGAGGGGGAGAAGGGGCCACTAGAAAGTTGGCTGATAACAATGCTAGCCAGCTCAGAGCGTATTCGTGGGGCATGTTAGCAGAAAAGCTTGACAATTTTTGTTAGAGCAATTTTGGAATCTTGCACCGTGTAAGCTAAATTTAGACTACTTCCATCTGAGATTCAAAAATTTTATATAAAAAAATAAAAATGAAACAACTAAAGAAAAAATAACTTCAAATGGTAGTGAAATTTGAAGCAAATGTGAACAAAAAAGGCTTAAGTTAGAATTCCCGGACGCTATTTTTATACTTGTATTCGTATTGTATAGTCTACCGACACAATTTCACGAAAAATATGCTGGACGGGACATGTTTCTTGTATAATACTGGACAGTACAACAAATAATACTCTTCGGTATGGAGCAAACCTTGAAGTTTGTTTGTTGGCAAGGGTAAATACTTCAAGAACCAAATGCAGATGGCCTCAGAACTTGAAAATTTGCAGTAATTTTCCTGCAGGAAAAGGGGTAAAAATAGTGAACTTAAAAACTTGCAAGAAAATATCAAATTCCTTAAAATGTTTAGCAACAGAAGTAGAACTTCAGAACAATGCAATATTCAAGAAATGGCAAGTTGCAGAAAAACATGGTAACGAAAGATTACATTTTGTGACTCGATTTTGTAAATTTACTCCCTTTTGGCTTAATTTGGAAGAAAAGAAGGCCAAAAAGACACAAACGTTACCATTTTTCTCTAACAAAAATGGTAAATTCTCACATTTCACAGACAGAGAGACAGAAAA